AAAAAAAAAAAAAAAAAAAACAACAAAAAAGGGAAAAAAAAAAAAAAATTGGGGAAAAAAAAAAAATTAAAAAAAAAAAAAAAAAAAAAAAAAACATCTCTGTCCAAGAACACCTGATGAAAGTTTAAATCCTGTGACCTTGTGACCCCAAACTTTTGCAAAACCCACTGGACAAATAAGACTTTCTGTCATGATCCGTGTTTCTGTGAATTTATTTTAAGGTTTTTCTGTGTTCAGTTTCTGTCCTGAGTCTCTGTTGTTTGGTTCCCAGGTATGTCTCATTCCTAGATTACCCTCCCTGTGTATTTAGTCCCACCTGTTGTCTTTGTCTCTTGTCGGATCCTTGTTGAACGTCATTTGTCTGCCTGCCATCACAGTCGTACTGTAAAGTCCTGTGTTGGTTAAGCTCTCTTATTCAGGCCTCAGTTTTTCAGTTGCTACCAGTAATTAGCTGTGTGCTAACTCTCTGCCGTGCCGCCTGTTTCTGGACCGTTGTTGAGCTTCCTTCATTAAATCCATCATCATCTTCATCACCACCTGGGTCTCCGTTTTAATCCTCACCACCTCACAATCACCGCTTCATGACACTTTCAATAAATGTCATTTAAAGCTTTCACAAATGCACAAAAGTGACACCTACTGGTCAGTTCTGAGTCTTACATTCAACTTAAAAAAAAAAACCTGCTTCTGCAAACTCCTTTTGCGAATGTTTTCAAAAGTAACTTTGATGAGATTTATGACAACAACTGAAACAAAAATAGCCTTCGTGGAGAGAAGTTAGTCGCGCTGTGGTGACCCCTGCTGTTCAGGAGTAGTAACTGATTGAGCCACCTGTGCTGGACAGTGGAAGCCGTCCTCATGCCTTTGCTGCCCATGTCCTCTGCTTCACTTATCCTCCGCAGCAGTTCCCGCTTCTCCTCCAGCAGCTTCTCGTTTTCTAGCATCACTACGTTGATCCGCTCCTTCTCCTAGAAGCAGTGCGTGGCAGAGGGAAGAAAACAGGGGGGGAAAAAAAAAAAAAAACGCATCAAGACAAAGACATGTTGGAAAATATCAAACCTTTTTAGAAGCAAACACTGAGCAGGAATGAAAACCTTGTAGGAGAGACTGGAGGCCAGCGCCAGATCGTTCTCCAGTTTCTGGATGGTAGAGTCTCTCTGTGCCGTTGCCTTCAGGAAAATCTGCTTGGCCTGACACAGTTTGGTCTTGTGTTGGCTTTGCTTTTCGTTGTACTTCCTGGTCGTTGTGGCAGTGGAGAAGAAACACGGGAGAATCAAACACGGCGCACAAATCTGAAATGTGTCCCCTCTCCTGGGACTTCCCAGGAGTTACGCGCTTCAGTTTCTCATGAATGAACAAAATGTCCTGGACAACAAACTTTATTCTTGCCGCCTCAGCATATTCAGGCCTTTAATTTCATAATCCTCGTCAACATGCTAATATTGATAATGACCTGATGTGTGCATCTAGCTGGAGGAGGACCCGCTGCAGCTCCTCCTGTAGCCTCTCACACTCCTGCTGACTGGTAATCAGCTCTTCCTGCAGTTTGTGGTTTGACTTCTGGCTTGTTTTTACCTGAAGAGCAGCAAAATAAATAAATAAATAAATAAAAATAAGAATAATATAAATACACTGAAATAAAAGGTTTAATGCTTAATGAATCAAAGTAACGTTGAAGCATTTCTCACCTCCTCTCTTGTCTTCTTGAGCTCAGCGTCCAGGATGGACAGCTGAGTGTCCAGCTGCTGGACGCGGTGGCTGAGCTCCGTGTTTGTCCTGTTGAGGGAAGCTTCCTTCAGCCTAAGCGAGCGTACCTGCTGCTGCAGCTCCTCCTCCCGCTGCTCTAAAAGCTTCCTGAAAATGATAAAAAGAAAAAGCTAGAGTGGCTTGAAACGATGAGTCAGGGGGGGGGGGGGGGGAAAAACCCCGGGGGCCCCCCTGTGTCCCCTGGGGGGGGGGCCCCCCCGCCA